GTGACTTTTTCAAAAGTAGTAATATTTGCAGTCATAAACATGTTCAGACAATTAATATGACGCTGATTTGATGCTTCATAATAGTTGCAGACGCCTTTACCAATATCAAAATGCTTTAGTTAACAACCAGTTATTCTGTACACCCTTTAAGAAACCGGCTACTATAACACTACTAAAACGCTACTATAACACTGCTATAACACTGCTATAACACTAGTATAATAGGAGAGTCTGCTGTAACTGTAAAACTGCTCTCGACACATGAAAGGGCAAATCATGCAGCACACAAGGTGTGCAGTTATTGCGTCTCATATTCAACAAACAGTTACTCTGAATTTTCTGTAATTTTGCTCACATGAATAATTGAATATTAATCAGATGATGTCATCGCGCTGCTGTGCCGTCAGCCAATCACTGCACTGCTGATCATGATTGAGGATGGGTAGATCTGTCCTTCACAGCACACACAGATCTCAGATCAGTTCATCCAGACACTTTAATCTGAGTCACCAACTTGTTTGAAGAACCGAATTAGCCAGAGATCAGTTATCGAGATGAACAGATCCAGGATCTGCCAAATCATCTTAGATCAATTAAGCGAGGAATGCAGAACTGACCCCAGATCTGATCTAACACCAGCCAATGGAAATCATCAGTAAACAGAGTGCCACATTTCTAGAGGACACTGGTCATGTCTGGCAGAAATACAGTAATACTGTGCTGCAGTGCTCACTGTATCACACACACACACACACACACACACACACACACACACTATGCGAGTGTCACGATCATGATCAGCAGTGCAGTGATTGGCTGACGGCACAGCAGCATGATGACATCATCTGATCAATATTCAATTATCCATGCCAGCAAAAATACATAAATGAGCAGTGAACGCTTTAAATATGACCCGCAGTAACTCTCCACATGTGTGGTGAGCTGCACTTACGAGAGTGTTCATCATATGTTTCAGTGCACATCAGTGTGTTCAGTTCCACATCCAGAGCAGATTTGCTTTATTACAGTAGACCAGGCCGACACTATTTTAATCGCAGTAAGGAATAACTATAAACTAATCTTGCATCAAAAAAGCGGTTTGCCATTGGTAAAGGCGTCAGTCGCCGGCATATTAGTGATCAAAACACGCATGACTGCATACAATATACTGCGGTTTAGTTTTTTGTTTTTAAGTGGAATATTGTGTGTGTGTGTGTGTGTGTGTGTACGCATTTGCATCTAAAAAGTTCATATAATAACTATTCTCTGTGAACCAGCAGGTGGCAGACTTTTACTTTATGCCTCTTTCCACTGACTGCTACAGTACGGTGCGGTTCGGGTCGGTACGGGTCACCTTTATCAGGCTTGTGTTTCCCACTAGCAAGGGCACCGTTTTGGTGGGCCGTGGTGTAAGACTAAGTTTTAGTCGACGTCATGCTCACTCGAGAAAATTGTCTACAGTAAAGC